CGCCTGAGGACTAGGAGCTAGCCCTGCACCAATGGGCAGGCGTGGGAGGGGCAGTTTCCTTTAGCCCCTGTGCTTGCCATCCTCAGGGACCCCCAAGGGCGTGGACTTCACAGCTGTGCGGGATCTGCTGCTGTCGGTGGAGGGGGTGGAAGCACTGCACAGCCTGCATATCTGGGCACTGACCGTGGCCCAGCCTGTTCTGTCTGTCCACATTGCCATTGGTGAGTGCTCGGGACACTCAGGGTGGGGTGGGAGACAGGCAGCCAAAGGCCTGGTGCCATCTCCACAGGGTCCAGGTGACCCAGATGCTCACAGTGCCCATGCATCAAGCTCAGCCTCATGCTGAGTACGTGATATGCATTATTCCATCTGATCATCACAATCTCATTTATCCATGAAGACACTGAGGCTGGCGTTGGGTGGTAAAGTTACTGGCCCAGGCTTTTACAGCCAGTATATGGCAGTAGGTGGCAGATTCCTGGCCTTAAGGCCAATGCTTTACCAGCTCTTTCAGGCATGAGCCAGGTCTGGTCTGGGAGGCTACCTGGCAGAGGAGTAGAATGTGGGGGCTTCTCCATGTTCATGGTCCCCCATCCTGTTCTGCTGAGGATGGGGTATGAGATTCAGGCTCCTGATGGTTCCAAAGGGCCAGAGTAAATGGTTTCCCCTGCTGTGTCCTCTCGGTCCCCAGCTCAGAATACAGACGCCCAGGCTGTGCTGAAGACAGCCAGCAGCCGCCTCCAAGGGAAGTTCCACTTCCACACCGTGACCATCCAGATCGAGGACTACTCGGAGGACATGAAGGACTGTCAGGCATGCCAGGGCCCCTCGGACTGACTGCCCAGCCAGGCACCAACTGGGGCATGGACAGGAACTGCAGGTGGCTGGACTGAGCGTTCCCCAGGCCCAGCCAGGACTTTGCCTGCCCCAGCTGTGTTATAAACCGGGTCCCCCTCCTGACCTCTGCTCCATGTTCAGTGCAGAGCCTTGTCCCACTCCAGGAATGGAGCTCTTCCCGGCCTCCCCATCTGACTACAGCCAGCGCCAGGGTGGGGACGCAGCAGGTATAAAGCTAGTGTGACCCTGCTCTTCCAGCTCCTGGGCCAGCTCTGGAAGGGCTGTATTTGGGCCTAATCCTAAGCAAATGTGGTTCTACCACTCGCAGGGGCAAAGGCGGTGAGCCATGGGATGTCCAAAGGGAGGCTGGCCCCAGCGCACCCGTACTGCCTGCCTCATCCCCCATTCTCAGCCTGGCTGGCCTTTGCCTTTATGAATCTGAGCCCCTCCCTCTGCCTATAGCAATAGGCACAGGGATGAGGACCCTCACACTCTCATTTGAGCCTCCCTGAGGCAGGGAGCCAGGAGGCACCTGAGGCCTGTCTGTGCCTCAGTCACTTCAGCTGTGAGCCAAATGTTCCCTTTCCTGGAGGGGAGAGGCCTCTTACTAGGTAAGGGACAGGTTTCCTCTTTCTTATTCCCTCAGCTGTGCCAACACAAAACACAACCTTGGCACAGGTGGTGGGTGAAGGGTAGAGTGATTTCAGTTTGGGTTCTGCGCTAACAGCCTCCAAGCCCCTTGGCACTTCTGTTGCCCTGAGAGTGTCCCAGGGGATTCAGAGTCTCCAGCAAGATATGGCTGGGCCAGCTCTGCTGCCTACCTGGCCTGACCCAGTCGGAGCCTGGCATGGTGGAGGGAGAGGGAGAGAAGCGGGGCTGCACTGGCCCAGAGGCCAGCTAGGAGGGAGACTGTGGCTTCCTGGGGCTTGTGTGTGAAGATTCCTGACTTAGGGGTGGCTTGTGTTTACAAGATGCAAGAGGGGAGATCTGTCCCCGACTCATGGAGACAACATGCCCAGTTATCAGAGTCCTGTGTCACCAGGTCTGTCTCTGCCATTGTAAGCAAGTGCCTTGGGCGAGTTGGCCTCTGCCCCAGTCTCATCTGTAGACCGACAGGGTTGATGCCTCCCTCACGGGGTTGAGACCAAGAGCCAGTTGGCCAAGTACCTGTGGTTGTTGAAGACTGGTTACTTTTATCATCCTTGAGACAGGAAACTCTGCAGCCCGAGGCTGCCTCACTGAGGAGCTAGGTGGGCTTCCCGGCCTCCTCTGGGGCAGCGCTGAGTTTGTCTTGACTGTTCTGGCCCAAGGTGGGAGGAGGTGGGTTTGGTCACTTGCCTCCCACTTTAAATCTCTATCTTTCTATCTGTGAAACGACCTCTTTGTGCCTTCCCAGCACTGTCATCCTGATTGCCTGTGTTCTAGGTAGGTGGGTCCTTCAGCCCCTCCAGGTCTGTGAAGTCTGTGGAAAGCACCGGCCTGGAGCAGGGTGGGGGGTTGCTGGCGGGTGCTCCATTCCACTACAATCTCAGGGGACTCAACCCCCCCTACCCCACTCCTACCGCCCTACCCAAGCCATGGCAGGCCCCAGGAACTTGATCATGGGCTTTGCTGTGTACCAAGTCCTTACACCCCTCTCAAGAGACAGTCATTGGCTGGGCACGGTGGCTCACGCCTGCAATCCCAGCACCTTGGGAGGCCAAGGCAGGTGGATGACTTGAGGCCAGGAGTTCGAGACCAACCTGGCCAACATGGTGATACCTCATTTCTACTAAAAATACAAAAACTAGCCAGGCGTGGTGGCTTGTGCCTGTAATCCCAGCTACTCAGGAGGCTGAGGCAGGAGAATCGCTTGAACCGGGGAGGCAGAGGCAGAGGTTGCAGTGAGCTGAGATCACACCACTGTACTCCAGCCTGGGCGACAGAGCGAGACTCCAGCTTAAAAAAAAAAAAAAAAGACGATCATTGCTGTGCCACATTCTTATGGATGAAAAAACAGGCTCAGAGGTGGAGTCGTTTTCCGGAAGTCACACAGCCAGTGCAGGCAGGTCTGGGATTTCTGCCTCATTCCCATAGACCTTTTTCTACAGCAGGGTCTGGGGACCTGGTCTGGGCTGCCTGTTGGTACAATACGAACCGCTGGGACCAGCAGTGCCTGGCCCATGGGCAAGGCCATGCCAAGGCAGTTCAGTGTCCTGGGTGTCACAGCTGTGACTGGAAGGGTGCCTCTTTCCCCTGGCTGGGCCTGGCACCCAGCGCCCTCCCCACCCTGGGAAGGCTGCCTGGGCCACAGCTGTATGCTTTCCCACTCACCCTCAGTTCTTGACTGCAGGCCAGACTGCCTCTCCCCCACCTCTTTAATTTCCACTCGCCCTGTACCTCCAGCATCTCACGGCACCACGCCTCCCAAGGGTAACCCACTCTGCCACTCAGCTGTGACTGGCTCTAGGGAGGACCTGAGTCATCCAGGGGCCCGCCGAGGTCAAGCTGGGGGGTGGGGGTGGAAGGCCTTGAAGAGGCCTAAGGGGACAGCATGTTCCTGCCAGTGAGACAGTCACGGGAGTTTCCAGAGCTGCGAGGCCATCAAAGCAGGAAAACACCTGACACCCTGGACCTGGGCTGGACCCACCACCCTCACCGTCTGGAGTCGCACGCGCTCCCAGGCGAGCCCTGGGCCCTGAGCCCCTCCCTCGAGCAGCTGCTGTAAGGGTATTTATAGCCTGGAGCGTGAGGGGGCAAGGGCACGCACTTTATTTCGGAAGTGATAATTCCAGTTCCAGTTGGGTGAACCCCGGAGGACCTAGTGTCCCCTCCCTCACTCCATCCTCACCTATACCTCTGGGGACAGTACCCGCTCGCGCCCAGTCCACCTAGAAACAGTCCCTTCTTACTGAGTTCCAAGTGTGCAGGCCAAAGAGATGGGGCTGTTCTTCAGATTCCTCTTCCCAGCTTTCAGCCCCCGAGCTGCCCACAGCGCTCACCCTCCACATCCCGGCCGCCCTATGGCCATGGGAGTGACGAGTGCGGTGCAGCGCTGACCTCTAGTGGTCGGCGTCGGTAGTGCAAGGCAGGCGGCCAAGGCTGCGCCGCCGGCGCGCGCCGTACAGGGGCCGGCCACTTGTTCCCGTCCTGCTTTCCTCGCCCACTCCTCGTTTACCCGCACCCCTCTGCGCCTTGGCTGAGGCTCAAGGATTGAACCTGACAACCTAGGCGTCTTTGGGTAGCTACCTTCCCGGGACTAGGAACCCTAGGAATGGGGTGGGGAGGCCGTTCCGTTTCTCCGCTCACCCTATCCCGCTGCTGCCCGCATAGGGCCAGGCACGCAGTTAATGTCTGCCATCCATCTATTCGTCAAATATTTGCGGCACATCTGCCTACCAGAGAGAAAAGGACATGAAAAGACCAGACCCCCGGGGCTCGCAAGCCAGTCCTGGGGCCTGACCATGCGGGAACCGCGGCAAACACTGGGCTGCGAAAGCGCTAAGGAGACCGAACCCATCGGGGGCGGGGAGGAGAGCCAGGCAATGTCCCTGGAGGAGGCAATGCTCTGAAAGACAAGCAGAAGTAAGCTGGGTGGAGAAGCGGAGAGCGGCACTCCGGGCGCGGGGCTGAGCCTGCACTGAGGCTCCGCGGCCGAGGGCGGGCGGGCGGGAGAAAGTAAGGCCACGCCCCCCGGTTGTGACTGGCCAACCGGGATCCGACGTGTGGGCCCGCTGGCTGCCATGATAGGTTCTGTGTCCCAAGGGCGGAGCCCGCAGGCAGGTGTCGCTTCCCCTGGGAGCTGGGCTAGGACCTCCATGGGGTCTCCGCGGGTCGCCCCCTAGGGCTTCTCCAGGCTGCGGTACTTCTTGCGCTGCACGGACACCGGGTCCTTAAACAGCACCGGGTCCAGACGCAGACGAGAGGACAGCAAGGGCATGTGGCCGAACGCTGCCGCTATCTGGTTGACGCAGTTGGGGGCTGGGGCCTGCGGCTTTGGCCTGGGCCCCGGGCCCCCAGAGGCCTAAGAGGGAAAGAAGCAATGGGTTAACAGGCTTCTCTACCCTTCCGAACTCCCCAGGCCCGTGCAGCAAGAAAGACTGGAATTAGACAGTGAGAGGAAATCCTCCCCGCAACCCCTGCCCAATCCCCGCCATTTCCGACCAGTCCGCCTCAGCCCTCACCAGTGGAGCAGCCTCCTGGCGCTGCTTGCCATAGGGCACCTTGATAGGGGGCCGCTTGGTGACTGCCGCTACTAGGAAATTCATCAGGACGTCCACACAGGTGGGTGCCTCATCTGCCAGGGTCCTCAGAGCCTTGGGCAGGGAGTGGGTGAAGAGAGTGTGGTAATACCTGGGCAAAGGGAAAAGACAGGGAGAGGCTGCAGCCAAATTCATCCCCAGGCCCCATTCTCCTCCCTCCTGACCTCACCTCTCCCTTTGACCCCCATCCCCAAGCCTCTGAGCCTGGCTGCCTCAGAAAGCTCCCATCCCTGGCATGAACAGCTCTCCACTGTGCTGTGTGCCCCGTGGCTCATCTGCAGTCAGTGGTGTGTTCCCTGCCCTCTCCCTCACAGCTCCTTGGGGCACCCATCCTTGGGCTCTGAGCGCTGAACCCAGAGCCAGAATTAGATGGGTTCGGATCAGCTGGTTTCAAAGCCATCAAACATGGAAGCCCAAAGAACAGTTGTGGATGAACCAGGCTGGTACTGCTTTGGGTAAGTCTCACTTCACACGGCCCTCAGACAGGCCAGCCTCACCTCGCAGACATTAGGTTATTCACTAGTCTACTGAGAATTCCCTGCAGAACTCCTGAGTAATCTACAAGAGGTTCCAGGTTATGCATTTTTGATTTAAACATGTTTAAGGAACACCTCTAAAGAGGTCTTACAGAATTCAGTCCCTGCCCCAAGACCGGAGCACTTTGGGCAGCTTCTGGAAGGCCTGGGATGTTACCCAACTCATCACATCCACATTTATAAAGCATCAGTACTATTCTCTTTTTTTTTTTTTTTTTTTGAGACGGAGTCTCGTGCTGTCCCCCAGGCTGGAGTGCAGTGGCCGGATCTCAGCTCACTGCAAGCTCCGCCTCCCGGGTTTGCGCCATTCTCCCACCTCAGCCTCCCCAGTAGCTGGGACTACAGGCGCCCTCCACCACGCCCGGCTATTTTTTTGTATTTTTTAGTAGAGACGGGGTTTCACTGTGTTAGCCAGGATAGTCTCGATCTCCTGACCTCGTGATCCGCCCATCTCGGCCTCCCAAAGTGCTGGGATTACAGGCTTGAGCCACCGCGCCCGGCCAGTACTATTCTCTTGTCACCCCACCACCAGCAAACCCACACACTGCCCTTACTCACTGCATGGCTCTACTTAAAATAACAATAGCTACCATTTGTGGAACCTCTGTGCCAGGGACTTCATTTAATGTTCACACCAGCCCTGGGAGGTGAATCCATCCCATTTTACAGATGAGAAAACAAACTCGAGAGAAGTGAGCCCAGGATCCCACAGCTGGGAAGTGGCAGATCTGGGCCTTGAACCTGGATTCCTGGGGTCTAGGCTACCCTGCTCCGTTCGGGGTGGGGGTCTCTGGTCTTCTGATCCTCTGATCCCTGGGCAGGGTGGGGGTCTGTACCTATGGTAGAAGGCGGCTGTGGTGAGAACCATGGAGAATTCGTTGGTCCTCTCAGCAGTGTAGCCCCAGCCACCATGGGCCTCATCCCAGAAATGGCTTGACGTCAGGAAGCCCACCATCCGCTCTGGGAAGCTCTGCCACACCACAAAGGCAAAGTCCACCTGGAGAGGGACTCAAGTGAGCTGTGAGGAGGGACCTCCTAAATGCCTAGAACATCCAGAGAGATGGAGGCAGGGCCAGCCTGACTGAGGGGCCAGGGCAGGACTCAGGGGAGAGGAGGTGGGAGCCATGGCTTAGAATTGGCTGGAAGTGTGGCATGAAAGCTTCTAAGGGCCACAAAAACAACTTCTCAAAAGAGTCCGTGGAAAGCCTCAACGAGTCTCCTAAAGAGGAGGCTGCCTGGCTTGCTGGGGTGGTTTCAAATGCAAGAGGTTGGACCTCATGACCTGGGGTCCCCCCAACCCTGGGAACCTGAGGGCTGCCGGGGCCCTCTGGCTGTGTCCACCCACACTGGGCTTCTCTTGGGCCCAGCCCTCACCTCACTTGTGGAAAGACTGCTGCGGGCATCAAGGCTGAGGATGGCATCTGTTCTGATGGTGCTGTATGGGAAGAAGCGATCACTAACCTGCAGGGAGAAGGGGGAGGAGGACTCAGTCACTGGAACCTTCCCCCTACCCCCATCCGATAAGTAGGAGCCAATCAGGCACAGTGTAGATGCCTGGGCCATGCATAAAGCCTCCCTTCAGGCACAGTGCAGACGCCTGGGCCTCGAATATGGCAAGCCAGTGCAGAGCTCGTTTTGGAACCTGGGCAACTCATTTGACCTCTCTGGGTTTCAGTTTCCCCTTTGGTAAAATGGGGCAGTTGGTCTCTAGGGGCCCTTCCAATTTTGACATCTGGGGATTCCTCCATTGTCATACTGTCGCATCAACTGTGGGAGGAGTGTCAAACATCCCTCATTTGAAAGAAACAGATCTAGAGAGATGAAGGGACTTGCCCACAACCATGTGGCAGGCAGGTGGTTCACACCAACCACGGTTCCCAGAAGCCTCCCCTTCCTGGCCCAGTGTGCTGCCCTTGGTCCATATTTTCTTAAGATCCCAGGTTTCTCCTCTGTTCCTCATCTCAGATATCAGCACACTCCTCTGTCTTCCTGCATCACATAAGCCCCAGTGCTCTGGAAGCACAATTCACAGGGACCAGGGAGGGAAGAGAATCATTATTATTAGCCCTGCAGCTGAAACCTACTGTGTCATTCTTCAACTTCAACTGTGGCTCAGGCCCAAGTATTCATAAAACACCCATGGGTGCCCTCCCCCAGCCTCCAGCATAGGCCCACCCCTTTCATGGCCCTCCTCAGCCCTTACCTTCCTGTGCCCATCAATGACTGTCAAGGGCATGGCTGTCTCCGGCCAACTGGATGGGAGTGGCCTCTCATTACTCCAGAGAACCAAGATCTAGAGGATAGGGGGTTGTTCCTGAAGTCTGGGGTCTAGGGCAGAAGGCGGGTTGCAGGGGGCAGGAGTGATCTTTCTCAAGGTGGAAGAAGTTTGAGAAGTCAATTTTATAAGCTGCACATGGGAGAAGGGTTTAGTTGGATCCATGTTCCATTCATCACTGCTCTCTCCTTGCTTCTGGGCTTGTAGAAGGCAGGAATTCTGGTGACATGAGGGTAGTGACCTATGGCTTTAGAACTCAAGAGAGTTGTCTGTGGTAGTCCCTAGCCTGGGCCCTGACTCCATGCTCCATCCCCATCTTTTCTCGAAGCCTTCATTCTCTTCCTCAGGCTCTTTTATGACTCCCAGCCCAGCTCAATGGCCTGTTTCGAGCCGTCTCGTGTGCACCCTGGCTGAGCTAACTGCTTCACTTCCTCTGCAGGGACTCGTATGAGTCTATCTGTCTTCTCTAGAAGTAAGATTTGACAGTCTGTGTGCCAGAAAATGCTAACCCAGTCTGAATCTCTGGGCAGAATCCTTCCCTGCTTTTTCTCTGCTCAGCATGAAGCCCAGGACCAGACCTAGTGCTCAGAAAATGACTGCTGAGTAAAGGAATGAATGTTTCCTTCTCCAGCCTCCCCAAGAGACACCTGCTTTTCACATGGCTGCATCGATTTCCATGGGGAAAAGGCAACAGAATCTTGGGACTTACAGAAGAAGGCAGCAAGAACACTTGGAAATTGTCCCCATTCCTCCCCTCAAAATGAGTGGTCATCCTTGGGGTCTGGAAGTCTTCAGGGCCCTGCCCTGTCCTTGCCCCCACCCTGGATCCCAGGACTCCAGCTGGGAAGGGGGCAGACCTGGGCACAGTGCTGGGAGCCTGCCACCGCCTGGATGAGCTTCAGAGGGGGCTGACCTGGGGGCCCCACCCAGATCAGGGCGCTGAATCTGCCCTCAGGGCGGGAGCCTGGGGGAATGAGACACAGGCTATTAGGGTGGGAGGGAACAGAACCCCATGAAGAGCGACCTGAGTAGAGAATCCCGGGGGCCAGGAGAAATGTCAGGGCTTGGGAAGGGTCTTGGTGGGGCTCTCCAGATGAGGCTGGGGCAGCCCTAGGTAGAGCTGAGGGGACTTCAGGTTGTCCCATCCCAGGGCATACCCTGTTGCAGGTGGTAGAAGGGGAAGTCCTGGGGGCTTGTGGAAAAAGTAGACAGGGCCAGGAGTGCCCCCGGGGGGCTGTTCCACAGCAGTGAGGGGTGAGCTGATGTTCCAAAGATCCGGTCCTGAATAACCTGAAATGAGAGAGGAGCTGAGCAGAGCGAGTGGCCTGTGTGTCCATGGCCACACCTCCCCTTCCAGGCTCTGGGGAGGGTGGCAACTGCATCACCAGTCCTCTGGGGTCAGAAGCTGAGGTCTAGAGTACGGGGCACTCCATGATGTTGCTCCAGAGGTGGGAGATGGTGGCAGGGTCACTGCTTCCCCTCCCTTCCTCACTCATGACAGATGTCACTAACGGGTCATGACACTTTTCAGGACTCAGAATCCCTCCAAACATAGCACCCCAGGCAGCCGTCAGTGGTCAATTGGCATTGGCACGTGCTTTGAAATCTATTTGCTACAGCGGTCTTCTCTACAGATGGGGAAACTGAGGCCAAGATTGGAGAAGAAACTTGCCCCAAATCTCACAGCCAAGTCTCAGATTCATCCCAGGACCATCTTCAAGGAGTGGGGGTGTCCCTGAACACTGGGACAGAGAAGTATGGAGAGGTGACAGGGATGGAGCAGGAGTCAAGGGCCAGGACCCCCATCAGGTGAGCCCCCTCACCTCCAGAGTGGTATGGATAACCTTCTCCACCGAGGAGAAGTAGGCATCCCATAGAAACTGGGTCTGCTGACGCAGGGCGAGGACCCGTGCAGGGGACATCTCCTGGAGGGCAGCCAGGACCTGGGGCAGAGAGAGATAAAAGTGCCAGATAATAGAGCAATTTTGAGCCCAGGAAGTTGAGGCTGCAGTGAGCCATATTTATGCCACTGCACTCCAGCCCGAGCAACAGAGCAAGACCCTATCTCAAAAAAAAAAAAAAAAAAGAAGAAGCAGCGTTCAGGGGTCACACAGAGTTGGGCCTGAATGCCATTTGGTAACCATGTGACTGTGGTCGAGCTGTTTAACCTCTCTGAGTATTTGCTCATTAATTGCTTAGTACATTGTAGAGGCTCAATAAATAAATGGTAATTACTATTAACCCCCTCTACCATTCTCAGGGGATTCAAGGCAGGTCACACATGTATTTTTCAGAGCTGGACAGAATTCGTTTCATCAGATGGAAAAGTCTCCATGCGTTTTGCTTTCCCACTCCAGTCCCCATGGAGGCGCTCTGAGTCTGAATTGTTTTGTAGCCTTCCCCTAAATTGGTATTTAAGCAGTCACAGGCCATTGGAGCTGGGCCCATGGGGATTGTCTGGTCTAGCTCATCCTGTTGTGGAGATGGGAAAACTGAGGCTGCAAGAGGATCAGGACTTGCTCTCAGAGCCCTTAGGAATCTCTAGCTCCATCGGATCCTCTGGGAGCCCCAGAGGGGAGACTTGGTGCTGGGAGAAATTCATCAGTATCCATACAAGGCAGATAGGAATGAGGACTGAGGCCAGCCTCGATTCAGGATTCTGGGTCCCTCCCCTGTCCTGGGTCCAGTTCCCACCCTGTGGGCAGGGCTCTGAGCTACCTGAAGCGGGAGCCTCTCATCAGCTACGATGGCTGCCTTGGTCCAGTCGATGACCTCGGAGAAGGGCAGCTCCCAGCGGGGGCTGAGAAGCACTGGGATGCAGCCGGCCTGGGGGGCGGGGAGGTCACTGGGGAGCCCAGCCCCACCCTGCACATACTCACCCCCCACCCAGTTCCAAGTCAGTAACTGCTGCTATTGGGGGGAAGGGGCAAAGAGGACAGGAACATGGGGTGTCTCAGGGAAGAGAGGTTATGGTTGTTCTGCAGAGTGTGCAGTGAATGGGGACACAGGCACACCTGAGTCCAGGAGTAAAGGAGCAGGCAGCTCACTGCCCCTTCTCATTGGCCTGGACCCAGCCAGCTCGTGAGTGCTGGGGGACAGAGGACAGGTGATGCTCAAATTGGGGTCGTACCTGCAGGGCTTGGAGGAAGCGCGAGGCAGCTTCTGGACGGTGGCCAGAGATGAGGCAGAAGGTGGCATTGGGCAGAGTCTCCCCGCGCTGGGTCCTAAAGAGGCACACAGGAAGGTCCCGGTACACATGAGCTTAGACAGTGCCCTTCGCCCCACCGGGCTCCCTCAATGGGAGCACCCCACACCCCTGCACCCCACACCCACACTACCAAATGTGCAAACCCACTCATGCATATGCACAGTCGCACACTGACACACTAACACAAACACAAGCCTCACACCGGCCACGCGTCTGTGGTTGGAATAGGAGGCAGGAGCCCTGCATTCTAGCTCTGCCTCTTCCCTCAGTGGCTTTAGAAACCTCCCTTGCCTTTCTCTGACCTCAGTTTCCTCATCTGTAAAATGGGAGGCAGAGGGCGCTGATGTTTCCAAGGCCCTGCCTGACTTAGACATGCACGTCTGCCCTCCCCAACTTGGCCACAGGCAGACTTTCAGCACCCCTTGCCTGCGTGGCCTCTGAGCCCAGCCCTCCCCAACGCTGAAAGCCAGGCCCAAGAAAGGCTCCTCTGTCATGAGGTGGGCTGGGCCCCCAGCCTGGAACCACACAGGAAGCTGCTGCCCAGAGGCCCCCTGGCCCAGAGGACAGGCTTCCTCTGTTCCTCCCACCTACCCCCCCACCGCCACAGCCCAGGGCCACACTCAGGCTGTGTGTGCCTGTGGGGGAGGGCAGGAGTCCCAGCCTCCTCAGAGCCACCCCCAGCAATTGTGCACCGAGGGGACCATCGCCTGTGACCCAGTCAGGGGAGGGATAAAGGGAGGGACCAAGACACAGGCCTGCTCAGTGTGGGACTCATGACTATGGCTCTCAGGGTCCTAGGACCCTCCTCAGTTACAGCCTGCTTGACTCTGAGCCTGAACCTCCAAGAAGCAGACCTAGGAGTACTTAGGCAGCCTCGGGGCCATGCCCCATTGAACAGATGGGGAAACTGAGGCCCAGAGAGACCCAAGGACCGGCTCAGGGTCACAGATAGGGTTGGGGTGGAGCTGGGACTAGAGCAGAGATGTGCCAGCTCCTGACTCCAAGTTACCTGAACCACCCCAGAGCTGCTGCTTTAGGGGTCTCCCAGGGGACCCCAGCCTTCTTTCTCCTCCCTCCATGCTTAAGTGTCCAGTAGGCCCTCCCTGGAAGAAGCCACAAGTAACCACCAGGACACCCTTCACCTCATTAAAAGCCACAGCAGAAGCCAACCAGGTACAGCCCCCTTCACCCCCAAGTCAACCTCTAAGGAACTGAAAACCTCTAGGTTAAGGCTGAATAAACTGCACCACTGAGCCTTAACCTCCCTTGATCCTCTGTGCCTTTAAGATCTCTTCTCCCTCACACTGGAGGGCCCCTCCCTGCCTTGTCAGCCTGAGGAAGTCCTCCTACTCATCTTTTTCTTCTCAGACAAGCTCTTGTTCTGTCACCCAGCCTGGAGTACAGTGGTGCCATGACAGCTCACTGCAGCTTCGACTTCCCGGGATCCAGCAATTCTCCTGCCTCAGCCTCTTGAGTAGCTGGGACTACAGGCATGTGCTACAGTGTGTGTTTTTCTTTCTTTTTTTTTTTTTTTTTTTGTAGAGATGGGGTCTCTCTGTGTTGCCCAGGTCTCATACTCCTGGCCTCAAGTGATCCTCCTACCTTAGTCTCCCAAAGTGTTGAGATTACAGATATAAGCCACCACACCTGGCCTTTTCCTATACTGTCTTAATGTCTAAGCTGAAACATCACCTTCTCTGGGAAACCCTCCTTGATGTCTCCAGAGATGGTTCTCTCTGCTCCCGCCTCCCGGTGGACTGCAGTAGTAATGATCCAAGCTAACCTATATTGAGTATGTACTTTGCTCCAGGCACTGTTTTAAGTGCTTTACATGTATTAACTCAGTTCATTCTCACAGCACCTCTATGAGATAGGAGGGGAGGTATGCACTGTTATTATCTCATTTTACAGATGAGAAAACTGAAACCCAAAGAGGTCACACAGCTCTTGAGTAGAGGAGCCAGGTAGGCAGCCAGTGCAGCCTCTCTCTGCTTAACAATGTCAAACAATCGACTTGCCTGTCTCTCCTACAAGGCTGAGCTCCTTGAGGATGGGGCTGTACCTCCCTCATCTCAGCATGCCCAGGGCCTAGCAGAGTGCCTGGTGGAGAATGGCAGCTCAGTGGGTGCTGCCGAATGCTCAGTGTGACACTAGGGAATAGATCTGGGACCAAGAGACCAGGCATCTGGGGGGTCAATTTCAGCAGAAATTCTAGTGATGGAGCTGGCTGAGAGTGCAGCCAGTGGGTGGTCTTTGGAGGTGGTGAGTTCCCCATCAGTAAAGGTAAATAAGTAGAGTCTGGATGAGCACCTTTGGCGGGGAACAGGGAGTGTGTTACAGAGGAAACTTGTGCATCTATGTGGTGACCACTGAAGAAGTCTTAGGCTTCTGTGACCACGTAAGGTACCCGTCATAGACTCAGGGCCTCAGTACCCAAGGGTGGTCAGTGTGGCTGTGCCCATGGCCTCAGTGCTCTACTAGGGCCTGGCCATAGGCAAGGCCACATTGTGACTTCCATGTGCCCTAGGCACGTTGGCCTTCACAGTCCCTCCTGCCATAAAAAAAATATAGTTGATAACTGTGTTGGTATAAAAACAAGCAATATTGTATATTAAAACATTTTCTGCTGGGCACCATGGCTCACGCCTGTAATCTCAGCACTTTGGGAAGCTGAGGCAGGCGGATCATTTGAAGTCAGGAGTTTGAGACCAGCCTGACCAACATGGTGAAACCCTATCTCTACTAAAAATACAAAAATTAGCTGGGCGTAGTGGCGTGTGCCTGTAATCCCAGCTACTCCGGAGGCCGAGGCAGGAGAATTGCTTGAACCCAGGAAGTGGAGGTTGCAGTGAGCCAAGATTGTGCCATTGCACTCCAGCCTGGGTGACAGAGCAAGACTTCATCTCAAAAAAAAAAAAGTTTTTTTCTTCTACCTGAAAGTTCTTTTTTTTTTTTTTTTTTTTTTTTTGAGACAGGGTCTCTCTCACTCTGCTGCCCAGGCTGGAGTGCAGTGGCATGATCTCACTGCAGCCTTGACCCCCTGGGCTCAAGCGCTCCTCTCACCTCAGCCTCCCAAGTAGTGGGACTACAGGCTTGCACTACCACACTCAGCTAATGTTTATAATTTTCGTAGAGACAGGGTCTCACTATGTTGCCTAAGCTCAGGCGATCCACCCGCCTCAGCCTCCCAAAGTGCTGGGATCACAGGCGTGAGCCACTGTACCCAGCCCTGATTTTCAAAAAATGAAAATGTTTTCATGAGCCTATAAAAGTATCATGGGCCCTAGGTACTGACTGCGCCCCTTGCTCCCAATGGATACAGCCTGGGGGACTTTAAAGCATGCATCAAATTTATGTTAAAAAATGGGGGAGAATATACATATTGCTTGTACACATGCAGAGTTTCTCAGAAAAGACACATAAGAAACTGGAAGCGGTGTTTGGCTCCAGGCAGGAAAACTGGGTGGCCGGGAGACAGGGATAGAAGGGAGGCTTTTCACTCTATGCCCTTTTGTGCCTTTGGAATTTTGTACCATGTGAATGAATTACCTATTCATAAAAATGAATAAATAACAATTTGAATGGGTGGAGATTTATTCCAAAGCAACAAGAGACCGTTCAACCAAGGTGGAAAAACATGGGCTTTGGAGCCAGAAGTACAGGGCTGAATCCCAACTCCACTGTTTCCAAGCGCCTGATTAGAAAAGTGAGGGGCCCGTGGAGAACAGGGAACCTTGTCACCCTGGGCTACTCCACTCTCTGGGCCTCAGTTTTCCGTTCCCTGAAATGGAGATAATAATACCTCCCTTGAAGGGTGCATGACAGGATCAGCAGTGACTTAGGTAAAGTGCCTGGCACAGCACCTGGCCCAAGCCAGGCACTCCTCAAACGTAGCCTCCTCCCCTCCCGAGCTCGCCCGGCTGAGTGAATGTGGGGCGGTGGCAGGAACTGTGAATGGCCTCTTTCTCCGGCGGGCACTTGTTTATTCAAGCTATCTCTCTCACTGTGTCCCTACACTGTCTGGCCCAGGCAGCTGCTGGCACTTCGGAGAAAGTGAGGCTCAAGCCACTCCAGAGATGACAAGTCCTATCACCTTCAGGGAGGCTGAGGCCAAAGACCACACTTGAAGGTCAGAGGACAAGGCTGCCAAGCTTCGCCCCTGGGAAATAAAACTTATCAAAAATGCTACTCAGAGGGTGACCCACGCTAATTAGAAAACTGTGGGTGGCTCTGGCCAATTTCAGATCCATTAGTAAACAGTTAATGAGCGCCTACCTGCTGCACGCAGTTCTCTAACTTCCAGTTTCTCAAAGAAGTTCAGACTGAAATCACTTTCAGGTTCATCAACAATGAACTGTGCTTAGCGGTAACTAAAGTCAGCTGAAAAAAGAACTGCCTGCAAGCAAGAGTACCTGAGTGCCTCATCAGAAAAGTGAGGGAGGGCATGGCAAAGGGAGAGCCTTGTTGCCCAAAATGAGCTTCTGCCTGAGCTCTGAGCTGCAGGGGCTTGAGTGAGATCCCTGACTTTTCAGGCTCCCACCCTGGAGACCATTAGGGATGCGTCCCGGCAGAAGGACCCTGGGGCTGACCGGGACAAGTCCATTCTGACTCCTGGCTGTGAGGGCTGCCTGTACCTTCAGGAGGTGGAAGGATCCCATTCCCACAAGAGCCCTTTGGCTGAGAGAAGTCCCGGGAGCCCCAAGCAGAGGCAAGAATTCCTGGGAGGGAGTGGAGCTCAAAATAGCTGATGTTGTTCCAGCAGAGAACAGAGAGAGAGACCTGAGGGAGGAGCAAAGGGAGGATACCAGAGTGACAGTTCCCTACTCAGGTCTGACCCAGGAGGGGCGGGATTCAGAAGGAATCCTCTGCCACCGGGGCCCTGGACAGCCTCGGAAGGACTCTCATTCTTGCCTGTCCAGCTAGCCTTTGGAGGCTGCTGGCCTGCTGGGGACACAGAGGGGTTAGAGTACTTAGGGGCTAACCATCACCTGAGGCGCATCACCCCAACTAGCCCAGGTGGAAAAGAGTTTCCGCACAAGCTCACCACGTCCCACAGGCCCCCAGCCCCTTATATGTCAAGGGCCTCTCACTGGCAGGAAATTCTTCTTTAGACCTGACCTACGTCATATTTGCTATAACCAAAGGCTGTTTCCTTGAGAGGTTAATCCCCAAAATTAGACACAGGAGCAGCTTCCAGCTGTGACTGTGAGGCCCCTCTGAAGCATTTGATGAGGTTGATCATAAACTTCTGCTTAAAACTCAGAATTCTCATACTGAAGGCTTTGGAGATAGGCAATTCTGGATCAAAATACTGGCTCTTTCTGGCTGGGTGGCCTCAGAAAAATTGCTTAACCTGTCTGAGCTTTCGTGTCTGGTACACAAACACTTAAATGCTAACAACTAGCGTATTTTATTATAATCATTATTTATAAAAGTGCTTAGCACAGAGTAAAGCACTATACAAGTGTATGTGGGGAAAAAAATATTAGGGCAGGAGGTTTGGAATGAGTCGTGTTTTATGTTTTGAAAGACCCCCAGGGGAAAATTCCAAAACCTCCCTTAGACACCCCTTGTGTCAAGTCCCCATCTTAATGGAAGTGCTCTCTGCCATCTAACTTGGCTCCCACCTGCTGCAGCTGAGGCCTAAGTCTGCCAGGACTACCTGGTTCTCCCATCTCATTTCTGTCTTCTACCCTGGTCTCTGGGCTTGTGTCTATTCCAGCCCCCTCCCATCCAGCCCCCAAGGCAAAAGGTTCACTTACTGCCCAGGTCCAGAGTCTTGCTCACAGCGTGCATCCCAGGGGCAGGCAGAGGAGCCGGTGTCTGCTGTGCGCCACCCACCCCTCTCCTCTTCCAGGGCTAGCAGGGCTATCCCGGGCTGGGGGCTGTGTTGCTGCAGCTGGCCAGGAGCCCCACCTCGCAACGGGTGGGCTTCAGGGAGAAAAGGGAGGGCCACATCAAAGCCAGGCCGGAAGGAGTCCACCGTGGGGCTGGCCTCAGCTACCATAGCCTGTCCCAGCTGGAAGGTCTTGGGGCAGGGAGCTGGGTGGAGACGGAGGACCAGATGGTTCCTGCCCCTGTTCCATTGCAGAGGCATTGAGCTGCACTCTCCAGTCTGGGCATCCAGGCTGAGGAGGAGAAGGAGGCAGGCCCCAGCAGGGCTGAATGTGTGGAAGCGAGAGCCCTCAATGGAAGCCAGGATCCTGTGATGAGTCTCAGAGATCGGTCCAGAAGCTGGGTACACGAATACCTTAAGGCCA